TCTTATTCGCGATATATTCAGAGAAAGGGAATTATCTAATCAAGTTAAGCGCCGTTGATGCAACCGGTTGAAAAAAATCAAGGATATCGGAAAAAATTGCACAAACGTAAAAAAAAAATAAGAACGAAGAATCTTGATTCCTCGAGAAATGGCCATGAATTAAATTAAAACTTCCGCGTCGTTTGGGATTGTGCATGCGCCCGCGAAGGATCGATCGCGCGCAGTCTAATAGGGCACGTGAATGTCCCTGGAGCGCGATCGTCCTCGGCAGAGCCTGCAAACGGCGATGAAGCACGCCAGGCCTAGAAGAATAGCCAGACCGGCGCCCAGACCGGCGCCGGCCCAGCCGGCAGGCCCGGTCAAGCCGTTGCCGTTGCCGTTGACGGGACCGCCGCACGTCTCCACCGCCTCGTCGTCCGGCTCGTAGAAGGTGCTGTTGGTCAGAATGCCGAGTATCGGCAGACCGCGGCTCGGACAGTTGACGACGCCGTTGCAGAGCAGCCTCGCCGGGATGCATCCCGCGTCGCCGGGACACTGGAAGCCGCAGTCCTCGAGCTTGCCGGTGTTGAGGGCGCCGGAGCCGTCGCGAGGCAGATGAAAGAGCTCGGTCCAGGCGATTTTGAAGGCCGCCCGCGCCGGCGCCATCGAGCCGGTGAACTGCAGGATCACGGCGGGCGATTCCTCGCCGCCGTCGGCGGCCGTGGCGCTGACGCCCGGAACCGGATGTTCCGTCGTCGGTGTGATCTGCGCCGCCGATATGATCGGCAACTCCCTCACGTGGCTGACGTTCTCGCCGCAGATTCCCAGATACGGCTCGGCGCTGCCCGGCAGAAAGATCTCCAGCTTGCCGTCCTCGCAGGAGCGCGACGCGAACTTGATTTTGTCGAAGTGCAGCCAGAGATCGCGCTCGCGATTCACCCGCAGTTCCCAGATGCACTTGATGGATCTGGGCGGCGTGACGTATCCGAGCGCCTCGTAGTGCGGGAACTCGATCTCGCCGTCGGTGGTGGCCGGCAAGAGGGCCGGTCCGCACAGCGGGCTGTGCGCGAACTCGTAACTCGCCTCGAAGAGCGGCGCGGGCCACTTGAAGTAGCTGGAGGCCGCGTGTGCGCCGTCCACCAGGAGTTTCAGGTCCAGTCTGTCGCCGCGGGAAACGACTCTGAGAACGGGCGGTCGCGGGCCCGACGGGGAACTCGTGGGCGCGGGGGTGCCGTTATTATTCGAACGGCAGAGGCAGTGAGATTTGACGCCGTCGGGACCGGGCTCGCGTACGATCACTCGGTCTACCCGGCTGTCTCGGCAGTGGCCGCACTGCACGTACGGATGCTCCTTGAAGTTGATGGACTCGATGACGAGGATGACTCGCGCGTACAATCGCTTGTCCGTGACGAAGCTGTAGGTGCAGGACAGATCGGCGGGCGGATCGCCCGGTCTCTTGTACACGAGGGTGTTGAGCGGCGAGCGCAGCCGGCCGGAGCGCGATTTCCACGAGGCGAAGATCTCGTCGCACTCGGTGCCGTCGACGGGCTCGCCGAATCGCGTGGCGTTGAAGAAATCGTAGTGCGCCCAGTAGTAGAGCGAGCTGCCGGAGTAGCTGCCGGTCTTGCTCTCGAATCGCACGAAGAGCGCGTTCGACGTCGACACGAAGTCGTGCTTCTCCATCGGCTTGCTGAACGTGTCGCAGAAGGTCTTGATGATACGCGCGTCGTCCGGCCAGTCGGCGTCGTAGAGGGTCAGGCTCTCGCCGCAGTCGCCGTCGTACGGCTGTATCGGCGACTCGATGCGATTCACGCGGAAGCTGGGGAAGTAGAGGCGCGCGATCTCGCCGGGTCGGCCGCGCAGCAGATACGTGCAGCTGGTGTGCGGCGGATACCAGTGCGCGACCGACAGGAAGATGCCCTCGTTGCCGCTGACGAGGGACTCGCTGTTCAGCAGCCAGTCGCAGCTGCCGTTCTTCACGCCGGCGGTCTCCACGTGGCCGGGCCAGTTGCCCACGTTGAAGTGGAAGCCGGTGTTGAGCAGCGGACCCGCCGGCGACGACACGAACTCCACGTACAGGTCCTCGCTGGTGCCGATGATGCTGTACGGGAACTTGCCCATTCCGCAGAACGTGCCGATCACCGGGCTGCTCTCGTTCTTACCGTCGTACACGCGTATGTAATCGTAGGGGCAGTGCTCCGAGCCGGAGCTGATCGGTCGCATCGGGCACGTCATGATGTTCTCGCATCGCTGCCCGTCGATGTTGAACTCCTCGTTCTCGATGTAGAGCTTGATGAACGGCAGCCGCGTGTTCAGCCGATACTTGCAGTGCAGCGCGCGCGGATAGATGCCCGGATAAGCCGGGCTTTGCACGTAGCACGTCTGCAGCCGGCAGTCTTTGAACACGCGCTCGCAGTAACTGCCGGGCACGATCTCGCCGCGACGATTCGGATAAAGCTCCGGGTGCTGGCCGTATCTCAGATACACCTCGAACTGCTGCTCGGCGCGCGAATCGAAGCTGAAGTACGTCTGATCGGTGAAATTGTCCGCGTGGAAGATCACCCGCACGAAGCTGGTCTCGCTGATGAAGGTCTGCGGCTGCTCGGACTCGCCGCAGTAGACGCCCGGGTCCTTGCGATTGCTCACCTCCGTCTTCGTGTTGCCGTCGATGATCTGAAACAATGACCGGGAACAACGCGCGCTGGGTGTGCATACAACGCTCGGCGGCGATCGATGAACGTAAGGACATCGCGTCGAGAATCTAGGAACGGCTCGATCCATTTTAACGACTGTCCCATTTTTGCGACGGCAATTTCGTCGCGAGTGAAGCGAGTGGAAGGTCCTCGATATCTCCAAGATTTAATGAATTATTTCAAAGTTATATGGACATTAATTATAGACTAAATATTATTTATATGGACGTCTTAATGTTTAATGAGAAATTCTTCGGCCAATTTAAAGTTGAATTTTCCTCGACGAAAATATCGGAGATCGTCATTTATATTGCAACTTTCCAATTTTCAACATCATATATCTTCGTAATTAAACCTCAAATTGCAATTGTGCTAAATTCGTCCTAAAGTTACCCGAAGAACATGTTATTCGAGCCCATAACTCGATAATTAGCGTCTGTACACTCGCTGAGAAAAAATCGACTATAAACTGGCGAAGAAATCTGTCGTTGAAAAATAGCGCGAGAAATAAGATACTTTGTATCGTCGATTAAACATGAAGCGAGACTCAAAACGATACCTTGTAATCCGTCGAAAGATGACTTTGTGATTCGTACCGAATTTATAGGAGTTTAAAGCAAATAGCAATTCCGCGAAATCTAGGTAATCGACAGAAGTAAATAGAAATTGATATAAGAAATCAATTATTTCTGCAAAGATGCACAGGATTCATGGAACATCGTAGGAAGTAATTGATCTGTAAATTTGCGCCGAAATAATACAAATTTGCGCAGAAAATAGTCATTTAAATGGAAAGTAATTATTCCGCAAAGATACACTATCCATTTCGCGTCGCGAATCTTACAATCTCGTGCAAAGAGGAAACGTACGTACTAGTGCCACTATTGACTTTCCGCTTCTTTTTTTTTTCGCCGGTGTAAATTTAAAAGTCGCGAGAAAAACGGTGGGAAAAATATAGAGGCGAATAGAGAGCACAGAAGAACGGACAGGCAGAAAGAGTGAGAGAATGAGTGAGAGAAAGGAGAGGAGAAGAGAGAGGTTTACAGCGTCACAAAGATCAATACCTGATACCGAAGTAACTGAGAGAGGTGGCAGCAGGACGAGTGCGCCCGCGCGCGTTTACGCTCGAAAGAGGAAAACGGAGGAAGGGGAGAGAAGAGAGAGAGAGAGAGAGAGAGAGCGAGAGAGGCAGAGGAGAGAATCACTTATCGCGCGCTCGTCTCTATATTGGCAATGCTCTAATTCGCGACATTGATACGGCTGCGTTCGTCTCCCTCGCGCGCGCCGATAATTCACGGTGGCGTTAACGCCAGACCGATCCGGCCTACCCTTATAACAACCGCAGCGTAACAAACCCGCGAATCACCCCCGTCGATATCCGCAAACGACGTGTGCGATTCATCAAGGGGCTCCGCGGAGGCTTATCCTCGTAGCGCCCGGAGAATCCTGCGCGACCTGTTATCCGAGGATCTCTACTTCAGGTCTTAAATCTCGCTCGACTCGATTCAGCTTAACTTAATAACAGCGGCCGCGGCCGTTACGTATGATAGATTGCTATGTTTATCGGTGGACTCCACTATTTTCCGCTTCGCACTCGAGGGTCGCTCGAAAGTACGAATCCTAAACGCGTGTCTAATTCGCTCCGCGGGGCGTAAAATAGACTCTTGCACGCACCGTTGCGCACAACGAGGCGAGTTCGACAATAATCAGACGCGCGCGCGCGGACTTTCGCGCACAATCCCGCGCTTTTTATCCTCGCATAACTTACGGATTCACGCGCGCATTTCCGTCACGCCGTGCTGGCCTGATTATATTCCGCGCGCGAATCGGTCCGCGATCCAAAGAGATACGAGCCACTGGCATCCCACCGTTTCTCCCCCTCCACCTTCTCCCCCTCGCCACCACCCGTCGCGGCCTGGCGTCGCGTCCGAACTTGAATCGAAAGAATAATCGCGGAACGCGCTATTGTCGAATCGAAATTAAATTCCAGCGGCCGGTTAATTGGCTGGATTCTCCCTATTCAATTAATAGGAACGCGCAGCGAAAGGGAGAGGGGGGGGGGGGGAGGAGGGTAGGAGACGCGACGAGAGACGGATTCGGGAGTTGCGCGTCATTCGAGCGCGCGGGATCCTAAAATTAGGATCCCGGCGTACCCTCCGACGGAGGGCACCCGCGGGAGGAATATACATATATATTTTTTTTTCCAAGCGCACTCACCTGAAGATAGCCGCCGCTGCAGGTGGTGGCGTTCTCCAGCACCCCGACCTTAAACTTCTTGAAGCGCACCCGCAGAATCCAGTCCCGGGGCGTCCCGCGGAAGGCACGGAAGCGGTACCAGCACGACAGGGGCTTGCCCCAATTCGCTGGGGTCACCGCCGGACTCGACACATCCTCGTAAATGTCGACTGTTTTGTTGCAGTGGCCTCGGTCCGCTGAAATAAAGGCGGCTAGAGCCGGCAACGGCGGAGGAGGGGACGACGCGCGTCGCCAAGTGTGTCCTCTCCTTCATCTCGTTTATTAGCATTTCCAGCGCCGGTTATGCTCATTAATAATAATTAAATGATTTTAATTATATCGGTAATGAATGACAAATCTTATTAATTAACGCTAATGGAAAAATAGTCCGCCAATTAGAGCCCGCGCGGAATATCGAGGAATGTTTCGCGCCGCTGAAGCCAACAACGAGCTTCCAGCGGAACGCTGTATATTTTTCCGCTTAGCTTCCCCGCGCGCCTGACTTTTTCAATGTGGAAAATTAGGGAAACGCGATAAGCGACCATCTCCCGGGGCGTTCGAGCGCGGGGAAAAATCGACTTCAAGTTAGTTGGGGAATTCGTTATTAAATTCAACGTCGGGGAGGGGGGAGCGCGCGGGAACGTCCCGTGTACGCCCTATTAGAGTAACGGCATTTTCCGTCGAGCGTCGACCCAGTTGGGTCGACGTAGGGACCGATAAAGGAGAGACGGGACACGCGGAACCGAAGGGAAAAGGACGACGGCGAGTAAGGAGCGACAACACGCGACACAAGTTTCGGCCGTGTAATCGATATTCGACCCGCTTGCAAGATATCTCTTATAAAGCGGCAGCATTATAGGGCCGGACCGCCCCCTCGTCCGTAAATCATCTTCTCCGCGAGCGTCAACCCCTCCGCGCGGCCCGCGGCCGGGGTGAAATCTCTCTAATGCGAGGGTTAAGATCCGATGCCGCGCGTCTCGTCTGCTGTTAGCGCCGATAATTCGGCCTGTTAGCCGCTGCAACGGGCTCGCGATAATTGCCGATAGCTTGGGATAAATAGCGCCCGGTTAAAATGAGTCTTCGTTAAACCGCGCATCATCGGACTCGAACGCTCGCGAAATCTTCCGGCGGAGAGATCGGCAATCGCTCGCTCGGAATGGATCCTTCTCGCGCCGAATTCTATCGACTCGATTCAATTAGGCGCTCGAAGGGATATAATTGCGACGAGTTTGTATATAGCGCGGGAAAGCGTGAGAGACGAATTGAAGAAATATAATGGGCGAGAGATTTGTTTTGTTATTACATCGCTCTTGTTCTTTTCTCTCTCATTCCGCGCGGACCGGGAGAATATTTTGAAAATAAACCGCATAAATCCGCGCGCGCAAAATCGTTAAAGCGGAACCGCTCATTTGACGGATATCGTGAAATGCTCAAGAGCGGTGTCGGATTGCCGCGAATAAATATAGAGATCGCTCTCGCGTGTCGCTGGCGCTGGAAATTTGAACTCGCCGGAATTATACCCTCGGTCGCGCAACCCCCTTTGGTCGGATTAGACTTACCTCTGCGAATGGCAGCGGGACTGGGGGTGGCCAGAAGCAGGAGGAATATGGCGAAAAATCCCCAGCCCCAGCTACCGAGGAGTACCGGCACAGGCATTCGAGGCATTCCCGGGGACAAGTGCCGAGGCTGTCAAAATACCTCCGCTTTCTCTCCTCTTATCTCCATTTGCCTCTCCTGCCGAGAACTACCTGTGCACGCATACAGAAAGAGATCGGTCGTACGTATGGTAATATCATTCATTGATCCTTCCTATTATGTGCATTGGGAAAAAATATCGAGGATCGCGCGGCGCGTGACATATTTCCTTCGAAATTTCACCACGGGAAAATATCGCGCTCTTTTCACGTCGCGGCGGCGGAGGATTTTCACGTTGCATCCAAATATAAATATACGTAAAATATATACGCATGGGATGTAAAAATATAAATTTCAAAGGATGTACGTGGATGAATCTAATTTCAGTCGAATAGAGCCTTGTTCTCCGATATTAAATTGGTCTTCCGATAAAAAAAAAAAAAACTGCCTCGAGCGCTTAAAAAGTGATGAAAGGAGAATTATTAATTCGAACCGGAAAGAATTCTTACTCTCCTATTTTGCATGATCACGCCGTTCGCCACTCGAGAGAGAAAGAGAGAGAGAGAGAGCGGTGTCTCTATAACATGAGTTGTTTGATGGAACGCAGGCGCAAGTACGAGCGCGTCGCGTTATCATATCCCCGAAGGACAATAAGGGACACCGCATGGTTTGTCAGATGGGTCGAGCATATGCCGGAAGGGCCTCGTTCGTACGTTCGCGTCGAGAGAGCGGGGTGATAATTGGTTAAATCCGCGTTGACTCCGCAATCGACAACAGTACTTCACCTCCGGAATTTTCTCTCCCTTTTTCACCGTAGTACTCTCTCCCCCTTTCATTCACCGTCGCTTTCCTCCTTCCCTCCCCCCCCCCCTCCCCCGTCCCTTCTCCCCTCGCATTTTCGCGTCGCATTCATTGTCTCTCGAGGATTCGGTGCTTTTTTTTCTCCCCCCCCTCCGGTGCACATGCACGCAATTTCCGCAACAATTCAGATTGTTCAGCGCGACGATTCAAGTATCTAAAGACCGGAATTCCGTATTGCGAGGATCCGGGTATCAAAATTTAAAGGGCCAAGGTCGCGGGGGATCCTTTTTTTCAGATGACGGATCGTCCGTCGGATCGACGGGTTCGCGAATTTTCAGATTCCGCCGGCGTACGTGAATCGAATAAAGGCAGGCGCGTGCCGGAAATGTCGAATGAACTGCGTTCGGGCCAGTTGGCGCATCAGCAATTTAGATCGTGCGTTGATTACGCGCGTGCATATACGCGCGACGCATTCGCGGGCGCGCGTTTTCTGCCGGGCGAAACAAGCGAAACGGCGAAAACGGTGGCCGGGTAGCGGGACCCGATTTCGCGGGATCGTCGAGCGAATGTTTTTTTCCAATTTGCCGATACGCCGCCAACGACCGTGATTATTTCGTATTACCGTCCACGACGCCGAAAGCGCGCGTTTCGGCGCGCGAGACGCATACGCAAACGAGGATGCGTTTTGCGATTCCCGAGCGATTTGGTCGCGATTGCACCAACAGTTTGGGACTTCGGCAAGAGTCCGGTGATTTTTTCGCCCCACTTTACATCGCAGCCTGCGATTCAAAAGAGGAAGAGAATCTAATTGAAAATATTCAATTCATTAAAATCGATTATGTGCGATGAAACATCGGTGCGATCGTCGATGTGGCTCGAAGGCTCGGAGAATTCGCAATGCAATTTCTCTTCTCGGGAGACAATCTTTGGATCGTCAGTCGCTTTGCGCGACGACAAATTACGAAAATGTGCAATGTTTTCTCATGCATCCACGCACCTTTACCATAACACTCTCATGCTCGCAGGCTGCAGCCTCCTCCGACGGTCCTCGGGGCGCCAGTCCTCGCAGCCGATCGAAATCACCGACGCGATATCCTGCACGCGGCTCTCGTCGGGCATGCCATCCTCTCCCACGTCAGGGTCGGCCGAATTTTCGAAAATTCCGGCGAGAGTCCTGCGGAGCGGGAGTCCTACCGTGAGCGGGGTCCTCGCGGAGGGCCGGATTTACATCGTCCCCGACGTATCGACCACGACCACGTCGCCTGGCACAGTTTCCCCCGCGATTCTTAACCGCGCACTGACGCACATAGGGACCGGCTCCCGGTGGCGTGGGACGGCCTGGCTCGGGGGAGTAAATTCCCCCTGGACCACCACCACCGCCACTGCCGACGGTGGTCCTAGTCCGGACGAGCACTGCCGCCGCCGCCGCCGCCGCCGCCGCCGCCGCCGCCGTCGCCGCCGTCGCCGCTGCTGCTGGACGCAGCGCGTGGATCATCAGCGCGTCATATCGCGAGGCATCCGCGGCACCGAGAGCGCGGTGCACGAGGAGCGGATGGAGAGAGTGGCGGCTGAACGAAGAGAAGTCCGGAGGAAGCCGTGGGTGACGTGGGTGAGAGAGGAGGTGTGACGTGATCGCACAGGACGAGAAAGCACGATCGCACTGTGCCGGTTGGGAAGCCAGGCTGGCGAGTCGACCGCTCCGGCACGAAAACTCGGAACGTGCTGGCTGGCTTAACGTCCGCCGTCCGCTCCGATCGGAGCTGCGGCGGGTCGAAGCTTGCGCAAGCTCCCTGGCGTTCTCTTTCCCGCTGTCTTTCTCCCACGACGTCGGCATGGCGGAACGCTTCGTTCTCTCTCTCTCTCTCTTTCTCCCTTTCTCCCTCTCTTTCTCTCCCTCTTTCTCTCTCTCTCCCTCTCCCTCTCTCTTTCCCCTCGTGATCCCTCCGCCCCGTTTCGCTCTTCGCTCTCCTTCCGTTTACGATGACTTTCATTGAACTGCTCTCGCTCCCCTGGTCTCTCCTGCCTGCCCTCCCTCTCTGCCCCCCCTGCCGCCTCACCACTCTCTCTCGGGCCGCCCTGCGATGACCTATTGCACCTATTGCCGCCCTGCGTCCTCCTGCGTTATTCCGACCCTTCTGCTCGAGTCTTCTGTTGTCGGCCCGCTTTTACTCTCTCTCTCTCTCTCTCTTTCTCTTTTTTTTATCTTACGGCTCGCATCTTTCTCTCTTCAAGCGGGGCAATCGATAGGCATGTTAAACGCGCGTGGCGTGCTTATCGCGTGAATTTAGCGCTTCCGCTCGCGTGAACACGCATGCAAACAGCCCCTATTAAAAATAAAAGCCGCCACCGCCGCCGCCGCCGCCGTCGCCGCCGCCGCCGCACCGCCGACGACGCTTGCGACGCGTCGCAATTCACACCTGACGTATCGATTTACGACGAGGCACGGGGGTTATCCTGTGCGCGCGAGTTTTAGCGTCGCCGCGGGGGTTCTCTCGCCCCCCCGCGTAACTCGCGTTTCAGGCCGCGACAGGCCGGCTAGAGGCCTGTCCGCGTGCGATGTCGATGATTTCAATTTGCCGTACGCGACGAAAATGTGCCGATAAACACGGCGCGCAGGATCAACATCGGGATCATTTTAGCGCCCCCTCCTTCACCCCCCCGCCCGATCGTGACGTCAAAATTCAAAACCGACGGCGAAATTGCACGGCGTTTCCGTCCGCGCTGCCGCTCGTCAGAATCGTTTGTAACTATTTCGAGGGGACAGCTGCGGCCGATGCCGGGCATTAATCAGCCGCTGGAACAAAGCTAAACCGCGCGGCGGTTTCCATAACTTAAACCGTATTTACGGCCGTCCGCGGTCGCAGCACAGGAAGGGACGCAATTCCCGTGGCTGCTTATACCGCGCGCCACGCATCCGTAATTCGGCCGATTGGTCCGCGTGGCGCGCGGGGCGGATTATCGAACCGCGCGTTACATCAGAGCCGGGGAGCGGTAATAAGCCGCGGATATAAGGGACGGTAATTAAGGCCGCCGCGCCTCCGGGCGTAACGCACGAAAAACTGATAATGGAGCGTCTCCGGGCCGCCGAATGCCTGAGGAGGGGGGATGAAAGTAAAAGGGGAACAATAAGCCCGGCGGTAATCTGTCCGAAAATCGGGGGAAGAGTAGCGCGCGCGGTATCTAATAAAGTCCCTCCCGGCCGATTGATATTTTGCCGGGCCGAAAATTAAATAATATATCCGGCGATGAAGGTAACGATCATCTCTTCCGCGGTCCCCCGATGACTATCGAATGAACGCTCGTCATCGCGATGTGCAATAATTTTATGGCAATTATTAATTCAATTATCGGAAATCTATTACAATGCGCACCATTTACGCGGCGGCCGCGGCGGCACTCTTTCCACACTTTTATCTACATAATTGATTTACGAAACAAAATTCGTTAATTTATTCGATTAATCACTAATTCACATGTTTCGCTAAATATATTTGTCACCGCGCATTCCAAATGTTTAAGACAAATAGCTCTTGAAAGCGAAAGAGAGAGAGGGAGAATTAACGACGCGTTATATCGACAATAGCGAGGCTAAAAGCACTTAGTTGACATTCCGAGCCGTTTCCAAGTTTCGCTGTGATAGACCTGTCCATCACGACACATTTCGGATAATGGGCCGAGCCAATCGTCGGCGTCCCGAATTGATTCTGGGAAATATGATAGCTGGAGGAGGAAGATTAATTCGAACGGATCGAACGACGAATTCGTGACGGGAAAACCCGAAACTTTTCGAAAAAACCGGGGGAACAATTACGGGCCAATTTGTTGCGTCGCGCCTACCACAAAGCGACCGTATAATTAAGGTCCGACGCGCCTCCGTCCGACACGAGGGAGGCAAGACGGGCGTCATTTGCGGGCTGATTAATTGCACACCACCCCGCCACGATCACATCCAGCCGCAATCAGCGGGAACGTCTAAGGCAAGAAAGCGAATGAGCTGAGACGGCGCGAACGTCTGTGATTTCAGGCGGAAATTCTGTAACGATAACCGCGACTACAAGTGGAAACGGTTTCCCAGATTTGCAGACGCTTAATCGTTGAATGCGTGACGCGATAATGAAGGCTTTGCAAGAGCTCGAATAGGGAAAAAGAATCGTTCGATAATCTTGAGTCAAATAAATTTAATTTGATGTAAATTAAATTAATTAAATAAAATATGTGTGAGAGATTGCTTCAAAATTTCTCGAAAAAATTAATCAAACGAGGAAGGAAAAAGGATTCGATCGAAAGTATCGGGATTATTGAACGATATTAAAAAGATTTCAGAAATCTCTCTTATACATCGAAGAATTACATGTAAAACCGTTTGAAATCAGCTCGATCGCTGCGCAGGCATTTCTCGTCGAATTTTGCCATAATGAGCAAAATCTCTCTCCATAGGAATTTCTCATGAAATTTTACTAAAACTAACGAGTAACCATATGCAGTGAATGCAGCAGTGAATGGTCGGTTAGGAGGACTATCGTTGGATAATTCAGACTTTTTGCTAAATAGAGACATTATTTTTGTCGGATATCTCTTTCATTATCCGCCTTTATTTTGCGTTTATTAAGCTTAACGAGCTTATCGCTATATAAAGCCCGATAATGAATCTGCCCGAGATACGCTCCACGTAAGATCAATAATTTCTACGTACACCAAATTATATAAACATGCCGCTTTGTTGTAATATATATCCCGCTTTATTGTATATAAGCCTGGTACAATGTATCATCAGGTGCATTGATCTCCGAGATCAATTTTTCCTCACTAAAAACGCCGAAGATTAACGACTGATAATAAACTAAGCTCTCGGAAAGAAGGATTTGACTTTAATTAGACTCGTAATTTCAAACTTAATTACGGACACGTCGAGAGCCTCCTTTAAATTCCTTCTCGGAGAAGAGAAGTCTATTAGAAATTGACTAAAGAGAGTCACAAAAAAAAAAAAAAAAAGAAGAAGGATACCGTGTTTATACACAGCCCTTATGAAGAATGTTTTTATTAGCGCGGATTAGCCTCGAGCGTCTATTAAAAACCGCCTATCGAATCGATTCGATCCGTTCGACCCGGCGTTCACGCTTAAGCGTCTCACGATGCGAGAGGACGCTGTCCGAGATATTAATTAGCACGGAGATATATCCGGTGTGCGCGCATATGGGCGCGCAAGATACATATCTACTCTGGCCGGCGCGTCTGTCTAGCTACACCTGAAAAGCCCGTGCCTAACCCACTGCCGACGACGAAGGGAAGGTCTCAGCAGCGCGATATATTGATTACGGAGAGAGAGGAGTATGCCAGGAGTAGACCAGAGTAACGCGGAACGCGCCAAGCACGCCGGAGTAGAACGGCAGAATTCATCGAGGTGCGCCGGAATATATGCCGAAATATGCGAATATATCACCCCTCATTCCCTCCCTCCTTATCGATCGCGTGCAATCATGGTTTCTTTTCCGAAAATTCGAGAAGGATAAATTCAGGCCGTCCGACGCGCGGACGATAAACGCGCGAGTCTACGCGCAACGTCGTTTATTCGCGCTTTCGAAAACTTTCAAGCGCGATCTTTTGTGTGAAATAAATCAAATTCAGAGTCGGGAGAATTGGACTCGAGAGAATGAAGTCGATGTATATTAATTTAATCACACGCAAGTTCTTGAAATTAAAAAAGAAAACGGATAATCCAAATGGAGAACTCGAATATATTCCGAAGTCACGCTACGGTGGGTGAAGCTTCCTGCGGTCCATCAGCAGCCAGCCAGGTTTCGGCCGGCAGAAACGCGAACATGGACGGATCTGTTTGCGGCGGGCAGGCTTGTGTTCCCTGGTTAGGTTCGATAATCAGGATGCGGGTAATCAGCCGTCTGCGCGAAGTGCACGAATTGATCTTCGTTCTGCCCCAGGCCGATGCACTGGCCTACATCCTTTTCTCGACACCCGACAGAATAATAATGGTTCTAATTCATTTCACGAATGGGATTTATTTTTTCCATCGAACGGAACTTTGCCCCCCTTCCGTACTTTTCCCGGGAAATAATTCATTCCGCAGTTACTATAACTTGTCTTTTTATGTAATTTTTCTCGCAACTTCCAATTTCTAATCGGGAGACATCCGCACTTCTGGAAAATTTAAAGATGAGTTTTCCTTTTTTCCTTTTCTTTCATTTCGGGATAATGGAAAATTACACTACGCTGAGATACAAGGAGTCAGCCAACCGACTACGACGGCATAATCTCGTGAAAATGGGTATCGGCCGGCGCTCCTTGCGAGGCGTATAATTGCATTAAGCATCTATCTGATCGTTGTGCGGCAGCGTGTATCCCATCTGGAAAGCGGGAGGATTTATGCGCGACAAACCCCAGCTCCCGGGCATGCAGCCGCGCTCAGGAGGAAGAGGGGGGGGGGGGCTCGCGGGAAGAAGGACGACGGAGAGGATAACGCGGAAGAAGGTGGAGCGCGGGACCTTGCGCGGTGCATTGGGTATAATAAATTTCCACTATCGCGAGTTTGCCAACTAATCGGCCGCCTTTACCATTTAATTAAGGCTACCCGCCCGGCTCATCTATTGTCCGTGTCGCGTCAGCTCGGCCCGGCGCGCGTGCTTAATTGCCGGATACCCGCTGAAAATCAAGAGAAATCTCTTTCGCCCGAATTCACTCACGCCGCAATTCCCAACGAGATACAGAAGAAACGCGGAATCCGGGAAAATTATTTGGATTTCGACCGAGTTGATTTATATCGTCCTCCTCGTTAATGTTAACTCTAGAATACGTGAGATTTTTAGCGCGAATATCTCAATGCGAGATCATGCATAATGCGAGTATAATTTAAGGATAACATTCGTATTTCGAGGCCGAGAGAAGATAACAAAATTCATTTATTTTTGCTTGTGCATTAGTATATCTCAAGAAGGAATAGAAATATTGTTTCTATTAAACGTTAAAAAGTATCTGGAAAATATTAAAAATTGCGTTCTCCAGAATAAAGAATGTAATGTAAAAGTTATCGTCGATTTTATTGACAGAATTTTATTATCGAAGCTTTATTTATCAAGAGAAGAGTTTATATTTTGTATTAAATATCTTGATAAGAAACTTTTCGAATAAAAGAATATATATACGTAAGGTAAAATTTTTTAATAATTTAAAAAATATCGATACCAAATATTAAAATCTCGAAAGAGTTTATCGATAACGAGTATCGATACTTTACAATATCGATGTATCGATAATCAACCTTACCTAATGTTGTTTAAGATGAAGTTAGTTTATGCATGCACGAAAGTTTAGAGGTTAGAATAGGAAACGATATATTAATTTAAATAATGTCTGTATTTATTAAGAAAATTAGACAAATCAAGACAGAATTTACGCTGCGAACTTTCACGGAATTCTGCTACACACTATGGTTTAGAGGCATGAAAAATGATGCAAAACAAAGTTACTCGAAAACTGTGCTGCTGCCGCAAACTAATTTTCCGACTCGATTTAGCGGCAAGAAAAGAGTGGAAATGGATAATTATTTAATAGAAGTAAGTTTATTATCTCTATTTCTAATTCCTTTAAATTGTTCTTAAAATTTAAGTCAAAACAATAGCATTTTAATAATGAGTATATTAACAACAGATAATGTGTTTGTTGAGTTTTTAGTGTAGAATTTTTTATATAATATTCATAATTTAACAATTATATAACTTAATATATATGTATATTATAAAAATTCTATGTTTCTGCGACAGAAATGCGGCTTCTTAGAATTATACAATTGGCAAAGGCAGAATTTATCAGGACCAGATTTTATTTTGCACGATGGTCCACCTTATGCTAACGGAGAGCCACATATGGGCCATGCTATTAACAAGGTTAATAGAATTTTCTTACTGTGATACTTTTTACACGCAAGTGTTTAGAAGAAAACTACTTTTATTTACTTACAGATCCTTAAGGATATCACATTACGTAGTAAAGTTATAGCAGGTAAAAGGGTGCATTATGTCCCAGGCTGGGATTGTCACGGCTTACCAATTGAACAAAAAGTGATTAGTAATATAAAAGATTCCAATCCCTTAGAAATTCGTAGAAAAGGTATGTTAATAACAATCAAATATTGCCTTTACGTCTAACATTATATATATATGTCTTATTTTATTTTTTATATTACAGCTAGAAAATATGCGAGCAATGCTATAACAAAGCAAAGGCAAGTTTTTATGTCATGGGGTATTATGGCCGACTGGAATGAATCAGGATGTTATTTCACAAATAATACTTCGTATGTAAAAAATCAGTTGCGTCAGTTCATAAATTTGTACGATAAAGGACTTGTGTTCAGGGCCTTCAAGCCAGTACATTGGTCGCCATCTTCTAGGTACATTTAATTTCAAGTGTTTTGTAAATTGTATCTGTTGTTTCTGAAATCTTTATGGAAATTGTTCTTTCCAATGATCCATAGAACAGCGTTAGCAGAATCAGAATTGGAATACAACGAGTCTCACGAGAGCAAGAGTGTTATTATTCGCATGCAGCTTGATGTATTACCTCCAAAATTAAAAAACTTGGGAAATCAATCGCTTTACGCCCTTATTTGGACTACAACACCGTGGTCATTGTTAGCCAATCAAGCTATCGCTTTCTCCAATGATATCGTCTATTGTGTGGTGGAGGATAATTCAAAAAATTTGTACATTGTTGCGCAAGAATGCTTGACGAATATTGAGCAGAAGCTTGGCTCATTAAAATTGATTACAATCATCAAAGGTAATATTTAGTTGCTTATATATTTCATGCTTGTGAATAATTAGCAATTGAAAAACGATTGTTGACAGGGCAAGAATTGAGTGAAGTCAGATATCTTCATCCTATTACCAAAGAAAGTTTACCATTTTTACCGGGACAGCATGTGACTACCAATGTTGGCACTGGATTAGTTCACACGGCACCCGCGCATGGGCCAGAAGACTTCCTAATCGCCATTGAGAATGATATACCAGTAGTAAGTTATTTTTGCCACAACATGCAATTTATTCATATCGCTTAAAATACACGATTTAACGACTTAATCCGTTTTACTACATCAGTTATCCTTGATAAACGACGACGGATGTTTCACCGAAGAAGCAGGCGACAAATTCGTTGGCTTGAACGTTTTAACTGACGGCGCCGACAAAGCTTGCATCACATCGCTGCAAATGTGCTGCACACTGACACAATTACGCACAGCTACCCGTACGATTGGCGAACCAAGAAGCCTGTAATTATCCGCGCGAGCCACCAGTGGTTTATAGACATCAAGTCTATTAAAGAGGAGGCGATTGTAAGTCGGTCAGATTTTTTTTACAGTCATCAATATTCATCACTTGCGTGCTTAAGTTCCGTTTTTTCTTTTACGTAAGGACAGCATTGCAAACATAAGGATATACCCGGAACAAAGTAAAGCATCGTACTTGAACGCATTGTATGCACAAGTTAAGCAACGACCGTACTGGTGTATTTCCCGACAACGTTCCTGGGGAACGCCGATACCGGTATTATACAACAAAAAAACGGGCGACACGTACACAAGCAGGTAACTATTAATTACACAGTAAATTTTACGATAAGAACAATTTATGAGAATAAAATTATGAACATTTTCGCGTTGCAGAAAATGGGTGGAAAGATTGTGCAAACTAATGGAACGACACGGCAGCGATTATTGGTGGGAGTTGTCGACTGAGAAATTAATTGGTCGCGAGCTTCGGCAGGAATTGAAGAATGTAGACGACTTGGAGAAAGGAACCGTATGTATCATCGACGATCTCTCTATCAATAATCTCGAATGTCAGTAATGTATGACTGCAAAGTGCATGACTATATTTCTTGAAGGATATCATGGATATTTGGTTGGACAGCGGCCTTTCGTGGTCGGCCGTTTTGCCGGAATGTAAAGCGGATTTGTATTTAGAAGGCATGGATCAGTTTCGCGGTTGGTTTCAGTCATCATTACTAACATCTATTGCTCTTCAAAAACGGTCTCCTTACAGGTAGCTTATTATTAAATGTGAAATCAAGTGTTTAAAAACTGTTCGAGAGCCTCGAAAATATATTTTACTTACATTATTTTTCTCGAAGCGCGCTGTTTGTGCACGGATTCGCTGTGGACGATAAAGCTTCGAAAATGTCGAAATCAGTTGGAAATGTTGTGAGTCCTGAATTGATCACCAAAGGCGGAGAGAACTTGAGCAAGAATCCGGCGTACGGCGTCGACACTCTAAGGTCGGCGTTAAAAATATTTCCTTCGTCGATCAATGATTTCTAGAAAAACTTCTATAAAATGCATATTAATGTTGTATTAAATATAAAAATTGTCAGGTGGTGGGTCGCCGGTCACGGATGCCAACACACGCAGATACCAGTGACAACAACGTTGTTGCGCGATAGCCACGAGTCTGTGCAAAAGTTGCGTTCGGTCCTGCGATTTCTGCTAGGCGTTCTGCACTCGTACAGCGAGTCCGGAAGCACGGTCAAGCCCGAGTATCTGCACCTGGACAAGTATATGCTACACGCTTTGCATCAATACAACAAAGAGGTGATTAAAGTGCCTGAGAGACATAAGGAAACTGTAATCTTACATCGATTCTGTCTCGCAGATTCAAGACTTGTACGACAATTACTTGTATCATCACGTGTGTAAAGCGGTAACGAACTTCCTGGCGAACACCGTGTCGCCGATATATTGTCACTTGACCAAGGACAGACTGTACTGCGATGAAACGTTGTCTCCCACGCGACTGGCTGCGGCAGAAGTGATACGCGAGACGCTGACGGTGCTCGCCAGATCTGTCGCGCCAATTGTCCCGCATTTAGCGGAGGAAGTGTGGCTGCATCATCCCGACAATTTAGGTGAGCGATCCGACAAAAGAAATCGATTTCGGCAATGTATCGTTGTCCTTATATCGTTTGCGCAGCGTCAGTGCCGCTGTATCACACTGAATATAAAGTGCCGGAAAGTTGGTGTCAACCGGAAACCGTGAAACACGTCGAAACAGCTCTGAACTTGAGAAGCAAAGTCAACACATCAGCTGATCGTAACACATGGGAGTTATCAGGCACCGTGACGGCTTCAAAGGATGATTACGAATCGCTATCCGTAAGTCACTTCTGCAAATGTTTTACTAAATTATTGTAATGGGTTTTAATTCTAAATAGTAACAATGTGTAAATCAAATCTGCTCGTTTTCTCAGATGCTTCAGAAAGACCGAGAATCTTCCACATCGGAATTGTGTGACATCTTACAACTCTCGTCGATCACGTTGCTGGAATCATCCGCGTTAACCGAGACGCAGGTTGAATTACACAACACCGGAAAAATGCTGTGTCAACGGTGTAGGAGGCATTCTGAACTAGATAAAAACGGACTGTGCAATCGTTGTATGAAAGTGCTCGATGTGGCAAATGTGTCCTCGATATCCGTGTGAGTACAAGTTGACGACTGCAATCTTAATAATTATACCGTACTAATTTTTCACTAATAAAAAGCAGAAATTCGAAAATTAAATTGTTTTTAATGAATGCTATAACTTATAAGATTAATTACATTTCTTCTACATTTAATACACCGATCGTGAAAGAAGACGTGTGACGGAATTTGAATTATATAATTACTGCTGCTTCGTCGTTAGGTCGTACATGTGATTTATATTCAAAGCGTTGAGAAAATGCGTTAAATGTGGTTGATATCCGCTCGTAGCCAGCTTGTGCGCGACGTGTGCCATGTACGTTCGCCATTCGCAAAACGACTGATACATGTGTTCCAAATTCTTGAAGTTCGGATGGCTGTATCGACCTGCGCCGTTGACAGTCCAGCCTTGTGATCTTAAGCGATTGTGAAACTTTAGTATAATCTTGAAAATGGTGCTCAGGCAGTCGCGCATTTTTTCCCCGCGCGTATTCAGCATACATCTGAAAATTGAAAGACATTGCGATAAAGTACGTGCTCAGTTTAAAGGAAGACGGATTAAATAGACGACGGCTACCTCGAGAGTATCCTCTTAATATAATTCATGTGCGAGAGATAAATCTGATCTATCGTAAGGGAGTTCTGCAGATCTTTTTCGAACTCGTTCCAGCTTGCGTGCAGCACGCTGCACGTTAAATAGTTGTCCAGAGCATTCATGAATTGGGTCATGGAGTGTCTATACAACTGCAACTGCACAAAGCGAGATGAGCCAACAGCAATATCTTAATGTTTCGTAAATATTCATAACAATTGGCGGCCTACCTTGTGATATTGCTCCGAGTTGACCGCGTTACGCTCCATCTTCATTATATTGAAGTCCTCCTGCAGCACCCACGACATTCTGCCAGTCATGATCAAGAACTTGAACACCTTGCTGTATTGCAACATCATTATGTCGTCTAAGATAATATTCAACGGCCATGATATTTTATAGTTGAGGCAGAGGCATTCCAAGACTTTCGGATCCGAAATCTACAATGAAAGGTGACGTGACGAAACGCACCGTCACGATGCACAATATAAATCATCCGGAAGTGATACTCACATACAACTGGTTCGGCTTGTCGACAGCGGTGAGGCTCAGAAGTTCCGAATTGGCGTAATTATTGCTGAACGAGTTCATCAACGCCTTGTCGAGGAGATTCGTGAGAGTGGCGGAATTGAAGAGCTCGATCGGCGTGGATATCGCGTAGAGGCGCGAGTACAGCGAGTCCGTCAGGCTCTTCGCGAACTCGCCGTTCAGCAGGAAGAAGTAACTGCGCAGGCTGTGCAGGTGCGAGAGCATGCTGCACTCGTTCACCAGATACTTGATAATCGCGTTGTTGACCAGCCGAGTCTGAATTTGCAGGGGAATGATGATGGATTTCTCCAGGTAGACTTGCAGCGAGGTGTGGTCGATCATCTCGACGTCGGCTATCGTCAGCGACGTGGGCGCGCTCGGCCTCGCGTCGTGGCCGACGTCGAACAGATTCGGCAGCCTGAAGTTGCTGCTCATCGGAGTCTCGCAGCACGTTTCCTCCGTGATCGACTTCGTCATGTCGGATATCGACAGCACTTCCTGACTGGCGTTCATGGCGAATATGTCGTCGCTGTTCGGTATCTGCGACAGAGGTGTGTGCATCGATAGCGTGGTGAAGTTGTCGGTCGTGCACGACATCGGCGTGTCCGTGCTGCTCTGCTGTTGCATATTATCCAATATCGGCTCGTGCGCTTTGCCATCCGCGCTGTTAATCTTATTCGAGCACTCTTCATCGTTCGCAGCCCCGCCTGCGCTCGCCGTTTCCGTCGGCAGCTTGATATTCGGAATCGAAAGCGCATTATTGTTCGCGTTTTCCCTCATATTGTCCGAAGTTTGTTCGTTTGCGATCTGGTTATTGCCGTTTATGTTTGTGCGATCAATCGCTCGTTTATTTGCGAGTATCGTGCTCAGCTCGTTATTATTCGCAGTCATACCGTACTCCTGCATCAGAACTCTAAGCTTATTGGCTTGTGCGGTTGTCATGTTATCTATCCTCTCGATAGCTAACGATTTAGGCCTGTTAATAGCACCCTTAATTTTCTCCGTCACTTCGTCGGTTTCCAAGATATTCAAGCACGTGTCAAGTGCAGCCGTTTGCTTATCGCCATCGATAATAGTGTTAATGTTCTTCATCGCTTCGTCGCGTAGGAAATCCTGCAGGTCGCTCCGCTCGTTATTCTTCTTGTAAATGTAATTTAACGGTTGCGATTTCTGCGGTACGTTCTGTGTGTCTGCGGTCGCGAGAGAATTCTTGCTTGCCGTGATTTCCTCGCCCGACACATTATCTTTATCGGAATCGTCATTCTCGATAGGCGAGGCATCGATGTTCACATAATTAGCGGCTGATAAATTTTCCTCAGGATTGTTGTGATCGGAAACGTTTGTCGCTACATCTAACACTTCGTTTTCCGCAAAGTTGCTGTTCTCATCCCGATTAGACGCAGCTTCGGATATATCCATGCTGGATGAAGTGGAAATAGTTTTATTTTGATTATCAATATCGACCGTGTTCTCATCCGAGCTTGGCGTGGCGATATTTTCCGACGCTTCCCTATCGAATTTCCTTAGAGACTTCAAAAACTCCACTCGTCTTTCGAAATGATTCATTCTCGTCCTGCGCCAATTGGATCGCGTGCAATTGCTCTCTATATCAGCTGCCAATTTGTCGTAATACTGTATGAGAACCTCCCTAAAACAAAATGACAATTAATGTCATCAAGATTTCTAATTAAAATTTGCAACGATCATTCTCTGGTGATCTTAAAAAATTTAATTTTTTCAAATATCAAACTTTACCGCTCGGCCTGTTGTTGCTCCTGTCGTTCATCCTGTTCTCGATTAATCCTTTCAAGCAATAATTTATCAGTCAGCATTTCAAATTCCTTTTCCTTCTCTTTAAACAAGGCGCTCTCTTCCGCCTGTTGCTTTAATTCTTGCAGTAATGCTCGTTTCCTTTGCGCGGCCTTTACGAGAAGTTCTTCGCGTTGTTCTACAATATTACAAAAGTTGTTAGATATGTAGATATCTTCAATTTACAATGCGAGGAGACGAGAATCGAAAATGTAAAAATATTTACTATTCAGCCTTGATAATGTCTCCTGTTGCGCGCCTATTACGAGCTCAGCTGTTTTCTTCTCGGCTTTCTTTTCATCTTGAATCGCGGATAACAGAGATACTATTGGTCCCAACGCCTCTTCGCCTTTCTCCTCGTATTCCTGACACCGTAGCAGCTGTTCCCGCAGCATAGATACACTTAAACAAACTCTCACTTCCGGTTGAGCATTGAGAGACGCATTGCACACAGGATTCTAAAACGGTAAAAATATTAGAAAACTTTTTTACAACTTTTTACAAGTTTATGAATTGATGAAAAAATAAGTTCCGTTAAGGAGAAAATAACCTTCAAGCTACAAATTTTCAAAAGCCGTAGCGTCTTTCCGCATTGCAGTATCGACTCCGACAGTTCGGATAAGAAGCCGGGCACTGATTCTGTATCGATCGCGAAGCCCTCCGTCCAAAACTTACGTCCTCTCTTTCGCAGATAATGAGATCGCGCTTGAATCATGAATTCTCCGTAAACGTCATCGCATGTCCCTTCGAATAACCAGTTTTGCAACAACCTAAAAAATAAATAGCAAATCAATTGATATATTATTTTTTATCCTTTTTGCGATGAAAATGTAAAGTGAAAAATGTTCTCTTACCGAAAATAAACTTCGCAGCACGACTTCAATATCGAATAAAATACCAACGCAATTTTCGGATTGGTGACTTTGGTCACTTCTTTATAAATGTGCGTCAAAATTCTACTACCACCGGCCAAGGTGCACTGATTGTCTCTGCTACAACCGCACAGCCTCGCAACTTCCGCAATTAAATGTGCTAATGGACGAACTTTTTTAAACAGGCTCAGCAACCCGTGAAATTCGTATCGATTAAGAATCCTTTGCAGCGCCGATCGATAGTACAGGAGCAGCTCTTTGACGTTGGTGCACATTGCCTGCGCAATAAGTATTCTGTGCAATAAAAGTGTGCAATATACGTCGCAGCGAGGAAGAATTGTGTACCTTGAATATGACACCGTCCTGTTGCAATTTACCCGTTTGCGGATCGGGCGTGACGAGGGATAGTAAGGACTTGAAACTATTGCCCCAACAAATCACCTCTTGGCAAGTAACATTCAGCGCCTCCGAACTTATACCGCGCACAGTAACATTTTCCTCCAATTTAAATCCCGTCTGAAATCGTGGAAAGAATTACTGCAAAATATATTATACGAAACAGACATTTCTTTACAGCAATATTTATTATCCATACCACGGCATCATATTGAAAAGAATCCGAATCTATGCCGAATAGCAGCAACTTAACATCTGGTAAAAATTTTTCAAGAGAAACTTCTCGCATCAGAGATATCGAGTGCATCACCTAACATAAAGAGCAGAATTTTTGTATATAATATTATTTATGTGAGCATTGTGAATTTTTACCTTCTTTGGCAGCAGTGATAAAATACTTGTTTGCTTTATCCTCGCTAAGTGCAGCGCCGTCTCTGGTAAATCAGTGACGAATAGCGATTGTTTGGGAGACTCCGGAGCTCCCAGAGATTCCCATGTTCGTAATTTCGGAATATAATCGCTGGAAAATATTTCTTTCCATATTAAGTTAATATTATCTCTAACATTTTCCGATTCAATCGTAAAACTTGAATTATCTGGCATGACACACAAATGATTTTGATTTTCTATTTGATCATCTATAGGCTTCATCCATTCATAAGGTGAAGTCAAATTTGATATGAATCCTTGTGTGGATAAATATAGCGTATTTGTTTGTTCAACCTGATAAAAGATGCATAGTATTAAAAAAACATCATCAAAAAGTGATGCAACAATATGATCTTACCATAATATGTGTTAGAAGAGGAGTGATCACGTTACTATAATTTGCTCTATTCTCAATGCAACTTGATATGCAGGGAGCCATTTCAATAACATTATTGTACCTGAAATATGATTTGTTATACCACAAGAGAGAAATACTTGACAAGAAATACAGGAAATATCGTCATACCTAATCGTTTCGATTCCTAATATGGCTCTAGATACATATTGATCTTTGAAAGGTACTCTACTAATAAAATTAGGCGAGGTATTTTGCTTAGTATAGATTCTGCGAACACCCAACATGGCTTCAAACTTCTCTGGCAAGGTAAAAGATTCCATAGGATATGTTTGAAACATTGGTACGCCCTTCGTCGGTGCGACGTCCTCAGGCAAGGAAGGATTGTTTCTACCATAATGAAATACATCCTAAAGCACAAAAATTACATTTTTATCGATAAATACGTGTTGAAAATTTAAAAAGCAAATCATTAATTGAAGAAATTAAGAAAATAAGTACCAATACAACTCTTCTGTTGGTCTGAAAATTTTTAAGCTCCACCAGCAGTTGTAAAATAGAATGACACGTAGTTTCTGTACTGTCCTCTTGAGTGTACAACTCATTAACCAATTTTTCCAACTCGTCTGCCTCTGACAGACGTCTCAAAGACAATTTGAGCACAAAGACATGCTTTAATATCTCTATTAAGGGATCAGAACCTGCTGCATTTTCTGCAATTGTAGATCAATTGTTGATAAAGTGCTATTTGAATAAATGGTTATATTTTTTATTCAACTCCGTCAAACATCTAAAGCATTGTTATTAGAAATATAAACGTAAATGTACCTTCCTTTCGATGGCATATCTTATTGCTCTTATTTAACAATATTTCATAAGCTTTCGAGCGAAGACTTTTTATTATTTTAACATCGCTTCTGGGTGGCACGTAGGAGTTCTCGTTTTCCAAGCGATTCTTCTGCAACGTATGTTTAATCAATTGCGTTATGAGATCGTAGATATTAGCGTCCTTCCGTTCTGGATCCATGGTCGAAATATTTCTTCAAGCGATTGTTAATTAACCGTTGCGACGAACCACGCGAAATGACGATTACCCTCATAATGCCATAATCAAACATAACAACACAACTCGCTTTTTTCTCTTTTTTTTACGTGTTTAAAGTGTCTCCTGTTTGAAACACAATTTTTTTTACACAAAACATTTTCACTATTATTTCACCCCTTCTTACTTCTAGCGCGTCCAGCCACCCAAACGCCGTTTTCTCGACGTTTCACAGATGATCATAACCTATTCTGCTCCTCAGTCAACAAAACGGCTAGAAACGCTCCATTTTAGCCGGGATTTTAAGCAATTGTTAACAGGAATACATGATGATATAAGAGCACACTCGAAGCAGTTTCATCTCTAAGCAACATTGCGAATGCATTGATGATAAATGTACCAACTGCACTCGGTACATTTACCATCGTGTACAGTCGTTATGTTGTTTTAGCTAACCAATAGATGACCCTGCTCCGATTGGCTACTCCTGTATCCCATGTGTTCCTGTCAACAATTTTTTAAAATCCCGGCTAAAATGGAGCCGCTCCACTGGAGCGTTTCTGGCCGTTCCAGCAAGTATTTTTCTACATGCTTATTTTCGCTTCTAGACTAGTTTTCACAGCATTAAGATACTCGTAAAATACTTAAATAATTAAAACTCTTTTAAAATTTTTGGAAAGTGTTTTGTTGCAAAATTCAAAATGCCAATCGTTACAGAAATTAAAAAATAACGTCTTTTTAGGACGTTTCTAAGGCGTCCTAAAGATGTCGTATTTAGGACGTTTTTAGGACGTCCTTATATATTATTTATATACATAATATATGTATATGTTATATTATATATATAGTTAGTATTATGCTCTTTCACAGGATGCAGAAGTTTCTCAATCGAGAACATCCAAAGCATTTCTGAACGGCCTTTAGGCGGTTGGGTGCTCCCGGATGTAGTTTCTGAATACAACCCAGCGAGCGATGTGACGACGTCGTCTTCATTGCCGATTTGGTAAAAAAGGAGACAGAAATAGTATGCCTGCTCTTTTCTAGTGTCCGAAGCAAGCCGAAGAGTGGAGTTCACATAACGTGGCTTGCGCACGTGTGCGGTAATTTCTCCCTCATGCTGCTTGCTATTTGCATCTCAAATCTGGCGTCACTGATTCACACCGAAAGGAATTGGTTGGGTTCTGAAAATGCAATAGTCTACATCGAATTGTTTCCTGTGCATGGGCTGCTGAACAATTTTCGAATATATTTGACATAACAACACTAGTATCTTTTCATAGTTTAATGCAAATTATTATTTATAATACTATCATTAACAATCATCAATACAGCAATTTTAATAATTCTTGAATTACCAATTTACTGACAAGAACACGATACGAAAAATGTCACTTCTCTAAATTGTAACGAACAATATAAAAAATTGTGTTTTGAAAATACGCATTTTCTGGACTTCAACTTTGCTCCTGAATTTCAATATTTAAACTCGCAGTTTAAAATTGCGTTCGTTTCGCCTTCAGGAATTCGACTGTGACATCGTTACTAAGAAAAAAAAAAAACTAAACAAACGGATGTATGTACAAGATACGAAGAAAATGCCGCGGAATGAGGATTTGTAATGTAGTATTAATTTTATTGCGCATTATTATACATATGCACACATACATGCGTATGGATATTGAACGAAGGTGACGCACGTGTCTGTAAACATATCGATTTCTCGTGACATATAGATATTATATAACATGTGTCCCCCACACACAAACACAATCCCCACACGTGTATGTACATATATGTATAATGGTAAACATACGTCGTTTCGTGATACGTATGCGTCAACAACTGTACAGCATAGTCCATCTACCAGTATCATCCAAAACCTTCTCGTCCTCGTATATTTCCAACTATAGAAAAATAACGTTTCAGACAAACGTCGTACACGCTCGCGAAGGAAAAAAAAAAAAAAAATAAATTTCGTTCTATTGCACCGTTCCTCGTCCGCGATTTGTTCCTCACAACTCAACTTACGTCCAATGTACCACCCCTCCTTTCCTCCTTTTACTCCACTCCTTCGATGATCTTACGCTACGTGCTGTTTTCTAATACCGATGTTTTAAGAAGATCGGCAAGTTATAATCGACTACAGTTGCGCGAGGGAAATGAATAATCGAGATTGGCAATCGTTTCTCTGCCAACACGCATGCATCTTACAAAAACTCACTTAAAGTTTACCCTCTTTAACCGAAACAGTTTCTTCTAATGTCAAAAATAAGAAGACTGTTTTAGATGATAAAATTAGGTGAACCTTCGTCTCGTAGCATTATGCAAAATCGTTCAAGCGGATGACAGAAAAAAGACTGGGTATCTTCGGCGAAATAAAAAATCTCCGACTCGCCATATATATATATATATATATAATATAATATAATATATATATGAAAATATATATATATATACACATAGCAATATGTATATATATACATACACACATATGTATATATACATATGCATATATATATATATATATATGCATCCTCTGGGAAATTTTTTTATGGAATATGTGCCTGTGTGTGCAGCCGCTCGACCTGCTCAAGTTGATTCCATTACACCGTGAAACCGCGTCCTTATACTAATTAAATTTAAAACATTATAAGGCTCTATTTTGTTCTTTCTAGTCCTGGTAACAATCTCCGACAGAGACCATATCGTCAACTTACGAAAGCTCGTTTTCTAGATGTCCGTGCGTCCGCCAAAATTCACTCCTCCGCTTTCTCATTGTTCGCAATAAGACCCGATCGTCCACTTGTCTACGCGGAAAATTTCGAAATTCTCTCGTCTTAGCTGGAACATTCGAGCGTATTAAATTAAGAACGCTAATTGTATTTATATATTTATATATATATATTATATAATAATATTAACATATACATTAATTATTATTATAATAATATATATATTTTCGATCTCTATTTCTCTCTTCTTCGTATTATTTTGCTTATCATTAAACATCATTAGACGCGTTGACAACGTCAAGTCGGTAATACGAAAACGGAAAATCACGCGAGTGAAATGGATGTTGATGCCGGCGAATAAATAAACTCGCACTTTCACTCTCCATTCGATCGGATTATATTCGGGGTATCATTCTCGTTTGTCCTTTCTCTGTCTTGCCTATTTTTAATAAATCGGTTAAACGCTGAATGGCACACGTTACCGCATCACATTATTGCAATTTGATGTACCAGCACGATAGCTGCTGTCACTATTTCGGTTAACTTCCTCGATCCAAATAAGCTCCATATACATATATATTCTATATCTTCCGAAGTTAACAAGTCGTAAAGAGAAAGCATTTAATAAAGTGTGTATGTATATATATATTTTATATATATATATTTATATATATATATATATATATATCTTATATACATTTGACTGTTGATAAGAAAATTATTTCAAATGAAAACATGAATTCTAAAAGGACAGGAAAAATCTGCTTATCGTTCTTTCTCTTTTCAGGAGTCTGTTTCTTTTGCGAAGTTATACACACAACAGTTTCCCATAAATTCTTACGAGATGTAGAACTGACGCTCGATCTCGATTATGTGCAGTCTAAAGCGGTTATGCAGTTAAAATAAAATGAAGTTTGCAGTGTATTCGTGTGTGTGTGTGTGTGTATCTGTGTGTATCTGTGTGTGTTCGACGATAGGCAAATAATGCAATGTAAATGTAATGTTTCTACGTAACAGGATGCTAGGTGTATCAATTCAATGATCGTCCATTTCGTGAATACGTTGACGCTTGGACTGCGGTGGCTGATGTTCAGGCGGCTCGGGGCTCTCGACGATCGCGAGCGGGGCCGGTGAACCCGGCGAGCTGTCCGACTCTTCGTGGCCACGTTTGCTAATCCCCCCGACGCCAGCGTCGGGACCGATAAAATTTCCACTGTTGCAAATAGAAAAGTTCACATGAGAATAGTGTAAGCCGTGTATCGTACAGTCAAGAGAGCACAAAGCATACGAGCGTAATTCGTACCTGTAATTATATGTCGTTTGTACAATAACAGGAGCTGGACTGTATTGTCCAGCTGGAGATAAAGAATGGTCCTCCACAGCATTCCCAGGCACCAAGTATTTTTCTGTTTTTCAGAGAGAAACATTTTTTTACGAACGTGAAGAAAAAAATCTTACAAAGACTCGGCAAAAGAGCCTCACCTTCCCTTACTGCATCCCCGCCGACACCATTTGTCACGATTGCTTGCATCAAGCGGCCCTTATGCGTTGACTGAGACGACGTGAACGGATGGCCGGGGGAACCAGGCGCCGATTGACTCGTTGCGAGTTGTCCAGCGGGCGAGGAAACCGAACTGTCCGGATATGATTCCGGTCCTGGGGAAGCCTCTCTGCTCAGACATTCAGGCGTCATCAATCCGCTGATACCGACATGAGACGGCGAAGCCGGTGCACTTCTGCTAATCACACGTGACAATTAAACGACTTACCGATCAGTTTCGCGATACAAGTGAAGTGAGATTCTCTTCTTCCACATTACCTGGATGATAGAGCTCCGAAGGGAGCGCGGAAGCAAGGTACACCGCGCTGCCGTCTTCGTCTAAAGGCTTGTTCAATGAGTTTAGCTTCTGATTGAGGATCTATCTTCCAGAATGAGCCCTTACCCGGCTCTTCCTGACTTCTGGGTACCTTGATGAAATAACGATTCAGAGACAAATTGTGTCGTATGGAATTTTGCCAGCCTTTGTCAGCGGTCCTATAATATGGATAATTCTTTGTGATGTACGAATAGATTCCCGACAGTGTCAGCTGCTTGTCCGGAGCAGACGCGATAGCCTGCACGATCAATTGGGCGTAAGAGTATGGCGGCTTGGAGTCATCCTTCGGCGGACTGTAGTGTGGCGCGGTGCCGTTCAATCCGGAACCGTTTCCACTTCGGTATCGCGCGTCGGCGCCAGGCTCGGGACTTATCTGTCTGCTGGAGCTCTGACCGCCTTCGTGCCTGTCCAGGTTATGCCTGTCCAAAGCGGAGTTCTGCGGATCGTTTGCCACCGCAGCGGCGTACGCCGCGACCATCTGCAGATCGGCCGAGATGTTTCTTCTGCCTTGACCAGCGCGCGGACTCGCCGGACAGGAGTTGGCAGCGCTGATCGTTCCCGTGGGCGACGGGAAGGGGCTGCTGTACCCGGTTTCCGGTATGTTTATCCGCAGTGGAGGTAGCGGTGCCCTTTGCTTTGGCGGCGAGGGCACGCGAATGTTACTTTGTTCCTGCTCATCGACAAGCGACTGGAAAACCAATCTTATTGTGGTACTTGGAAATCTGAACGTACATCTGCAACACCATTAAAGATAATCGTACAAAATACTAAAATCAGTATGATTGTGTAACACTAATTCCACATAATCATTAGCGATGATAAGAAATTTGTGAAAGTCAATTTCTTGAATACATACATAAAATATTATTCACACTTTGGTATGATGTTCTGATATTGGTAAACTATCAATATTTATTTCAGCATTTTCAAATGTCTGTTGTAAATACTGATTTATTTACATCACAAGTTGCATTTATCACTCAAACTTTTGACTGACTGTTTCAGCGTTATAATCATTTTTCTCTAATGTGACGATTTCTTTACGACTGTTGGTTTTTTTTCTCTTTTATGACCGTAGGATACTTGTACTATTTATCTTTTGATATTCTATTATTAGCGACATTGTATTAACTAACTACAGTGTGCAATCTGAGTTTCTAGCAGTCTAAGAAGATTCAAGATTTATGAGCGACAGTGCAATTTATAATGTAGCTGAACTCAGGTGCAAATAATAAGAAAGATCACGAGGGGCCTGAGATCGCCGGTCGCGTGCGGATAAATGAACGGTCACGAGAAACTCACGTCTTTGGCAATTGAAAAGCCGGAGCGCCCTTGCGTTGAAACACCCCGTCGACGAATACGCCATTCTTGCCATTACACATCATGAAGAAAAACGGATGGTCGTAGAAGATCTCGAGGTGCCGTCGTGAGATAAAGCTGGAGTGGCCCATGTTGACGTCGACCTCACCCTTGCTGCTGTTGCGGCCGATCGTGATGCGCCGCTGTCTAACCATGTACTCGAACTCGCGGCCCTCGAGTTTTGCTATCGCCGCGCCTTTCGACTCCGGATTCCACTGCATCTTCGTCGGGCTGGCCGGCGCGGACTTCAACGCCAGAAGAGCCCACGCGTCGCTCTCCTGGGTACGAGAGTACGTAGACATAGCACCAAGAGCGAATGAGCCGTGGTGTACTTGAGAGCAGCACAGGAAGGAGAGGAAGACAGCAGAGTCGAGCAGAGTGAGTGGAGAAAAGAGAGAAAGAGTGTGCGCGCGGGAGAGAGAGAGAGCGAGAGAGAGAGGGAGGGAGAGAGAGAACGAGACAGAGACGACACGAGATGAGAAGCGAGACGGAATGATAGATAGCCGCTAAATTGAGATAAATCGACAAACGTACAGTCAGATACGTTAGATAGATAGATAAGCGGAGATAAAGAACGAAGACGAGGTAGACCCGGTAATGATAGAGGAACACTGAGGCGATACAAGTAGATGGTGACAAAAAGGAGATGAGAGACAGAAAAGAATAAACGTGCAAAGGAGAGAGAGGAGGAGAGAGAATTGACGAGGGGAGAGAGAGAGAAGAGAGAGAGAGAGAGACAGAGAATGACGTGCGCGAGGAAAAAATTGAGTCAGGGGGAAAGAAAATCGCAGCGCCGATAAAGATACTGTTATACTGGCGAGACGAGGCGACGCGCGAGGAGCACACGTACGGCACGACTTGCGTATGCACGCACGCGAGTCTACTCTCGCGGAATATGGCCGGCTATTTTCTCGAACTCTCCTTTCTCCACACCGCCCCGGCGTACGTGTGTATGTGTGTGTGTGTGTGTATCTCTCTCTTCTCTTCACTTCGCCAAGTGCGTTGTGCGTTTTCTGCGTGCGTGCGCGATATGTGACACACATACACCGCGGTAACCGCGTTTCTCACCGCTCACACACACACTCCACGCGTCCGTTACGGGCATACGGTCACCATGCGGGACCACGCGCGATTCCTTCCTCTTTAAGATTTAAACTGTGGTCAAGGCACCTTCCGAATTCGCTTCCTCCGCTTATGGCGATCGTGAGCGTTGGGACCTCGTGTTTTCCTACCGCTTCTTCGAATTCAATCGTAACGGCGATGATGACGACGGCGTTGACGGATACACGATGATGACGATACGCGCCGCACAAATATTTTCTTCTCTTCTTGTTTACCCACAATCCGAAACGTGGGTGGTTACCACGTGACACGCAATCACGAATCCGATGTCTCGGTCGCATGCGAGCGGACGCGCCGCGAAATCGCGGATCGGTATATTCGTTCGATTTTTTCGACTTCATCGTGTCCCTCGACATGCCTACGAGGACAAAAATATGAAATGCTGCGCAATAATATCTAATAATAAGACGATCACAATCAATAGAATCTTCCAGCTCACGTTTTTTTACTGAGATTCAAATTTGATTTATGGGTCTGTTCTTTTAGACGCAGAAATAAATTCAAATCCGCATTTAAAAGGAGCGATCGACTTTCTTCCATAAAATATCAAATTTGTATTATAGCTAGAAAACTTTGATTTGAATTAATTTTCTTCAATTTTTGTTTTTGTTTTTGGAGTGTAAACACTCTGTGTCTTGAACAGTCTTGAACCGCTTTAAAGACCAATGTCCACGTTGCTAAAAATCGGTCCGAGAAACATATAGCCAATAAAATTGCCGTTTTTCCATAAAAAATGCAAGTTGATTGGTTATACATTTCTCGAACCGATTTCTAGCATCGTGAACATTGGCCTTAAGGCTTAGGCCCTACGCCAGAGAAAAAAATAGGAATAAAAATAAATATTACCTTAATTTTCTCCAATGATTTTACACGATTTTTTTCACTAACATGCTTGCAATTCTGCAAGAAAAACATCTACAATCTTAACAAAATTAGGATATTATATTAAGAATACAAAAATAATCAATTAATTAAGTATATAGCCGAGAGCACAAGCTTTTACATAAAGCATAACACATAAGCATAGGGAAATTGATTGGTCTATATATAAGCATAAGCAAATGCATAAGGAAATGGACCAATCAATTTCCTTATGCTTATGCG